AACATAAAAATATAAAAAAAAATTAATTTACTTTAATTTTTTGATGAAATGAAGATCTTTATTGGTTACTTAATGATTTTTTATATTAGTTAGAATGAGGGTGACAAACGAGCACAACGTCCACCTGATGGTAAGTGGATGCTGTGGCCCATAGACATCTAAATCTATCCTCGATCACGAATCAAAATGCAGATGTGTTGTCAGCCCTGAGGACTAAGATATTCTTTTATATAGATTAAGGGTGACAAACGAGCACACAGTCCACCCCATAATAAGTGGATGCTGTGACCCATCTACATCTATTCTCAATTAAGATTTATATTGCAGATGCGTTGTCACCCCTGAGGCTAAGATGGAATGTCTAGATTCCAGAAAAAAAGGTCTCCGGTTTTCTACACTTGCTATACGAAACACAGTAGCATTTTGCTACAATTTTGCTGCTATTTTATGCTGGTATTCTGTGAGAGCGTGATCCTATCCCAGTCGAGCCGACCCAATCATTTTACAACCATAATATAGCTGCAGCGTGACTCTACCACGTAAAAAAAGATGAATTGCCCCGTTGCCAGTGAAAAGTCTCTGCGGTTGTTACACTCTACTTGGACTAGTTCTCTTCTCTACACTCATCAAACAAAACACAGCAGCATTAAGCTGCTATTTTACGCACGTACAGCAGCAGTTATAGCAGGTAAGTGATGCAACCATGTCATAGCGTATAGCTCTACCATGTACTTGTGCGAAACGTTTAAAAGCGAACTTTTGCGAAGAACCTTGTAATGGTAGTTACTTTTATAGGTAATGTAGCTAATGTGTTTTAGAGATATTAGAGTTTATTGATCAAAATCAAAAGGACTATAATGAAATGTTAGTTTCAAAAATAACTTAAGTATGTTTGGTATAGTAGGTTAGAAAACTCAATTACGATAGATAACATGTTAGCTACAAGATGAAAGCATCATAAATGTATATCACACAGCTAAAATTATCGTTGTACATTTTATGACCGCTAAGATTAAACGCATATATCTAGTTGCCTGACTGTAGAAATTCGACCGTTATTCATATAATTTTTCAAGTTTGTATAGAAAGCAAACCGTATTTCACATTCGACTGCATATAAAAATACAGATATTTCATAGAAATAATATAAAACAAGTGCTTTTTTGCCTTGACATACACTCCACAGACTATTGAAAATTTACGTTTTTAGTAGTAATTATTTGTTGGCGACATATTAAAATTCTTTGGCGATAATCTCTACACTGTGTGACTTTATGTTTATGTTTATGTTTGACCACAGATTATTACGTTTTACATGGCAATGTGAACATTGAATGTTTTATCACATTTTATCTAATGTATTTTTTACACTTTGCACTTTTTCTCCATGAACCTTATCTATTACAAATCTCACACTCTCACGTGCACGCAATACGCTTAAAAAGGGGTTCAAAGTTTTCCATTCACCTATTAATATATCGATTATATGGGTACATATATTACATAATACCAGTCACCATGTTGTGGCGGCGTAAGTGAATCCGCTATCCCATATCATCTCGTAGGTGTCTTAAGTGGCGACAGAAAGAAATTGAAATTGAAATATGGCACTCACGATGAGGCAAGCTTTGGGAGAGGCCTATGTTCACCAGTGTAATTTTGATAAGCTGTTATGAATGAGTCACCGCAAAAATTGGGAAAGTTAATGGTAATAATTTTACCATTATCTAATAATCAGACAAAATGCGTTGTCACTCATGAGGACTAAGATGAAGTGCCTCGTTGATTTATTTATAATTTGTAGGGAGTTTTTAAGTGTTAAAATTCTTGAATTTAGACACTCTATATCAGTCTCATAACAGTTTTCCTCCTCAATTGAATATAATTTAAGTTGATTAATTAATTCTTGCTTTTCTTTACCTACATACATTTATATAAATTTTGACATTAATTTTAGTTTTTTGCAATCTCTTAATATATTTATTAATTTTTATATATTTCTTTAATTTTCTTCTACTGCAAGTAATCCTTACTGCTGTTCTTGATGTTACATAATCATCACCAGTCAAATCGATTGTTGTGGACGGTTGCAATACTTTAGAAGATTCACATTCTATGAGCTCATTGAATAGACTATGAGTTTGGGATGCTTTCATGTTGTCTATGTAATGTTTTAATTGCACAATCTGCTCATTAGCCTCACTTAACTGTAACTGCAATGCAGCAATTAATCTGAGGGATTCCTCATATTCCTTATTGCATTGGTCTAATTCATGGACTGTTCTCTGAAGTTGATCCCTTGCTTTAAACAAATTAACCATATCAATTTAAAGCTCGGTATTTTTAGCAATTATATTTATTATTTCTTTTTCATCTCTTTCTTCACAAAACAGCTCGCTCACAATGCTCCTTTGACGCCTTAATCACGAATACACGTAACGCCAAAACGCGCCTCGAATTGGCGCGTTTTGGCGTTACGTGTATTCATTTTACTATTAAGTGTAAATAGCAAAAGAAAACAAAGAAAGAAAACCGAAGAAGTTAAAATCAAAATATTAAAGGGATAACAAGAATTACACTTATAGTCCCACCAACTTATCTGTGAACTGACAGCTACGGAAAAATTGTGAACTACAGCCGCCATTTAATCAAATGTCACTCGATACGTCATTGTTTTGAGAGTTTATAGAAAAATAAAAAATGCCGAAAACCATTATGTAAAAGTGATGCCCGAAACATTATTTTAAAAGTATTAAACTTTTGTGAGCAAGAAGCTCGAGGGCAAGCACCGATAATGCCTTTCAATCAGGTCTATAAAAGAGTATCAGCTGCTACAGGTCAGTATTGCTATGTTTTGTTCCTTCCTTTCGTATTTCCGATAAATGGATTGGTTAATGCAATTCATTTCTTTTTCAGATGATAGTCAAGGATTCATTTCCAAAATAGTTAAAGAACCGGAAACCGCAAAAACACAGGAACGCAAATTACAACGCCCGGTAAAAAAGGCATAAAGGCATATTATTTATTTAAAGTTTAATTTGTTCAATTATTATAATTTTGTTTCTTCTTGTTTTTGGACATATATCTGTTAAATCTGTGTTCTAGTCTTTTTATTCCGTGACTAATTTATTACCTAGTATGTGGACTCTATGTAGAAATATAAGACCCTTAGATGGGAATATTCCCGAACTGGCAACGCTTCAGCGCAGAAGCGCCAAGCTGTCAGTTCACAGATAAGTTGGTGGCATTATACAGTAAGTTTAAACGATGTTCGTTACAGCTGTCACTTTTAGTTGGAATACTAAACACAATTTAATTAAAATACTTATGACTTTTACTTATTTCACAAATACAAATAAGTCGTAATTAACAACTGTAACTCAAAATTGAGGTGGATATTCTCATTTTACAATATTTAATTTTTAAAATTGTTGGGAGCAAGTATTTTAAAACTTGTTACCGGAGTTGCCATATTTATCCTCTATCAATGCTTTGCTTGTTCTAAGCAACAAGACTTAGTTTTTCCTGCTTGTTTGCGTTATCAACGGAATATATTTATTAATTTATGTAGTCTTTATTGCGTTTCCTGTTACAAAATAAGACAAAGGGTGAAATTAGTGCCTTTAGGAATGTTTGTTTAATTTAGACGTATACAAATAAAAACGATAATGAATGATAAGAAATGACGATCGCAAATAAAAAAAAAATTGTTAGCCTAATATGAAAATCTGTTAGGTCAATACACATCATATACATATAAATTTCACAACACAACATTTACATTTACAAATAAAATGAAATTGAGGTGTCTGTTTGTAATGCCAAAATACAGCTTTATTCTTATAACAAAATAACAATTTTCTGTATGTTCCGGCTAATTTCTGAAATGGCTGGACCGATTTTGACGTGACTTTCACTGGCAGATAGCCGATGTTACAAGGACTAACTTAGGATACTTTTATTTAAGAAAAATTATTAGGGTTCCGCGCAATAAAACATCCTATGAAAGCCAATCGTAATAACTTCTACGCTGATGAAGTCGCGGGGTACAGCTAGTACTAAAATAAAGTAGAAGGGACTGTTTGTGAATCTGATTTTACATATAATTTTGTTTGTATACCTATTACATAGAATTTTTACGTGCCTGTGAAAATTATACCTACTATGAATTTTATACTTACTTAAGCATTTTGTACACGTGAGCTCAGGGGCTGTGTGCGCGCGTTAAATTTTATAGTACGCAAGCAACCAGAGTTCGATATCCGCAGGAAATTTTACCACGTGCTTGGTAGTGAATAAAAACACCGTAAGGAAATATGCGTGGGCGAGAAATTAAAAAATATTTCGGTTTCACGTTGTTGCAGCTGCTATTATGGCGAATACACAAATAGGTCAGCTCGGTCGGGTAGAACTGAGCTCACATATATACTAATTTCAACGTAAAATAGCAGCTTGATGCTGCCGTGTTTCGTATAGAGACATCCTTTTAACTGGTATCGAAGCATTACATTTATGTGCTAAGGGCTGACAACGCATCTGTGATTTGATTTTTAATCGAGAATAGGTTGAGGTATCTATGGACCACCGTATTTATTTGGCTCTCTTACATGCTCTTATCAAAAATGATAACTCCTTCTATCGCCAACGTGCATTGGAGCAGTACGATAGCGGACTCTTCCCTCTTTCAAAACCAGTAAAAGTATGTAGGTAGATTACTAATTTATATTACAGCGATATCATCTCCATGACATGAAAAACTTGTTTGGAAACTTTATCGCGGAAGTAAGGCATTCAAATTTTAGTATCCACGACACAACTTTGTTGCTTGTTTTCTTCAAGTGCACAATGTAGAAAAAGAGAAATCTTCTAAAGCTGCTTCAAAGTTGCCGACAAAATCTTCAATAACGTAAAATAATCTAAGCCACAATCCCAATTCTTACCTTAGAATCAATAATAGCGAAAATAAGTAGTTTGATTTAACGAAAATGATATCTCCTTACCTAAGGTCCAGCCTCAGTTCGCGGCCATCGACGGTGAGGTTGTAATGTAGTGAGTGCGGCAGGCGGTGTTCCCGTTGGTGAAGGTCACGGCGTGCCCGCGCGTGTCCGTGCTCGTGTGCGTGTTCCACTGTGCGTGACACGAGCTCGCCATCTCGTGTCACTTTGACTGGAACTGTCACTTGTACTTTCGACGTATCCAGGTGCTTGTGTGAATATATGCCTGGTGAAAGATATCTGTGGTTATTAGAAGTTAGGATGCGTGAAACGGAATATCAAGTAAGGCACATTGGGTGTTATATAGCAATGTACTCATCTCGTACTTGACGTAATTTATACATCCCCGACGACATAGAGGATTACGTCATGCGTAAGCGTGGAAATAATGTCAATCTTTTGTTTAATGGCGGAGACCCAGTAGTGTAGTAGTATTTACACAGTAATAAAGAAGAAGACAACATACAAAATGAAATTACCGCCCTCCATTACAGGCCACAAAATCTTTCTAACCTATCTCATAGCTTAATACTATGATGGCTTTTTTGACACCGTACAAACATTGGCCACACAATATAATTGCTTTTTAGAAATATTATCCCCACGCTACGAATTTTTCCTGTATCCCGGAGGCATTTTAAATACTTAGATTGCACATGAATAAACACCCAGACAAACAACCCAAAACAATATACGGAACATCTTGGTCGCAGTGACACTGGTCTTGTTAGACCTGTACAGCAGTTCGCCCAAAAAAAAAATAACCCGAGGCATGCAGTATGAGACTTGCACAAAGTCGATTCTTACGCTACGTACGGTGTGAGGTCGGTTTAGCATTTTCTCATTTGTCACCAGCACACCGCGGAAATCACTATGATGATCATATAAATTTATTTGATTAAGTATTCTGCAAAGGTTAATCCGAAACATAAAACTAAAAATAAAAACTAAATTCAGTAACACAAATTTTAATTTTATTTAATAACTAGCTGTTCCCCGCGACTTCGCTCGCGTGTAATTTGTTACGATTGGATTTCATGAGGTTAATTTTTTTGCATGGAACTCTAATTCTTTTTCTATAATAAAAGTAGCCTAAATTACTCCTTATAATACCAGCTACCTGCCAGTGAAAGTCCCGTCTAAATCAGTCCAGCCATTTCTGAGATTAGCCGGAACAAACAGGCAGACAGACTAACAGACAGACAGACAAAAAATTTATAAATTGTGTTTTTGTTATAAGTACTTTCATATGCATTTAGTAAAAAGCTTTTATTTTGACTTTACAAACAGACACTTCAATTTTATTTATTTGTATAGATATAAACAATAACAATGATTACAAAGATAGATTTGCCGTAATTGCAAACAATTTTTTGATCGTTCGTCTTTGTTGTTAGGCATCGAGTTACCAGTATGGTCCGATGCCTTGCATAATAGACGACCACGCGAACTACAACATTGATTTACAAACATCAGCGTTTACTTTTGCCAGGTCAATGATATCTTTGATAATATCCGTCATTCTAGGAAAGTTACGTCATGTAAATACAAATAAATTGTTTTGTCAGCTATTAATTAATTTGTGTTATGCCTTATAAGTGACACGTTTAAGGAGAAGATATAAGAAATTTTAAAACACACTTTTCTATTATATATTCTATCCATTAAAGCCTACATAAGTCCACTGCTGAACATAGGCCTCCCCCATAGAGTGCCTCATAGAGGGAAATTTGCCATAGTTTCTAGAACCATAGATTTCATTATTTTAAGCTTTTATCGGGAAGATGCTGCTGCCCATTTCCTTCACCATCATCATCATTACGGCTGGAATAGATATCAAGAGGAATTAGGTATCGATTGTATACAAAACGTAAATCGTGAGTTATTGTCATACCCTATGCCCAGTGTTTTATTAATAAATGTTCTTTGTCTCTTTATATTAATTTTATATTACTTATTAACTAAAACAAAAATAATTTTAGCGTATCCTTAATACTTCTACATAGTTTCCAACTACAATAGAAACACATGCTCGGCGCAGAGTATCTTCTTTTCTTATTTTCTTAAGCTTGTAGCTCGTGACCAAAAGACAAATTAAGCAGATGCATTGTGAAAAGTTCTGTAGGGTATCTGTGGCGCTGTGTACCGCGGGTTTTGTCCTGCGCGGAATTAGTGTTACATCGTTTTGGCCATTTAGACCCAATTTATCATATGCAATTTATGTATTCAAAGTACCACGATACAGGAGAAGTTCGTAGTATATAGTAAGTGTAAATTACGTGTAGCAACAATATGATTATACTGCTTTTTTTTATATGATAAGGGTGACAAACGAGCACACAGACCACCTGATGGTAAGTGGTTGCTGTGGCCCATAGATATCTACACTTATCTTCGATTAAGAATCAAAATGCAGATGCGTTGTCACCCGTGAGGACTAAGATGGAATGCCTCGTTTCCAGTAAAAAGGGTCTCCGGTTCTCTACACTCACCATACGAAACACAGCAGCGTTAAACTGCTATTTTACGCTGGTATTCTGTGAGAGCGTGGTCCTTCCCCGGTCGAGCCGACCCATTCGTGCTACAACTATAATATAGCTGCAGCATGGCTCTACCACCTATATCTATCTATCTATCACGCTATCTATCGAAGGTTAAAAGATTGTTTCAGCATTCCTCTCACGGCAGGAGATGGGATGGTGGATTCTCTTGCCTGGCTATTACAACGGCCTCGTATAATGGAAGCGACTCATGATCAAGTGTAGACTAAATTATTTTTTAAACGTTACCTCTGCACTAGGATTTTCTCAAGGTATTGCCGCCTTTTGCTGAACAACGCTAAAAACGACGATTTTTAAATAAATCCAACTCAACTGTTGGAAGTAGGACTGTATAATCATCCAAGTTTTAGTTTTAGTTTTTTTTTTTATTATCATACTAAACATTGTATATTTAACGTTAGGTTAACGTTACAGTCAATTAAATTCCACTGCCATAGGCCCCCCCCCCCCATAAATTGCCTCATAGGGGCGATATTTGCCAAAGCAGCCACGCTTGAAAAGCGTGTTGTCACAGTTTTTATAGTTGTTATTAGGAAGACGCTGCTGCCCATCTCCTGATTTGTTTCCATCTGTCGCCTGCTACGATACCCACGGGATAATATTGGGTAGTGGATATTCTTACAGAACTAAATGTATATAAACATTATATTAATTTTATTGGATTATTAGTTGCACGTTGTTCGTTAAACAAAACATAATAAAGGTGTTAAGAAAATTGACTATTAAAGAATGAAATAATTGTCAGTAAACACACTATTCTTAATGGGCGCGCATAGTAAGTACACTTACTATTACTTACAAGTAAATTATTATATATTCATACTATGTGTTTGTATGTATTATTCATTGTGGTAATCAAACATTACTAGTCATGCAAAATTAAAAATATAAGAACGTGATATCCACATACGTTTAGTCATACTTGTGTTTTGAACACCTCATTTCCGGCATTTAACAACCGTTCAAGTAAATATATAGCCTATTTAATATAATCTAAAAGTATTTATGGGAAATTAATGGAGATCTACATGGCAGCAACAGTCTTGTTAGGGGTTGTAACGATGTAATAGAATACCACTGAAGTGTAGGGCCGAGTCCTCTCTGGGTGCGTCTTGGTGTATCAGCATCTTAGTCCTCACGGGTGACGACGAATCTGCATTTTGATTCTTTATTGACGATAAATGTAGATGTTTATGGGTCACAGCAACCAATTACCATCAGGTGGACTGTGTGCTCGTTTATCACCCTATCCTATAAAAAAAATTAAATTTAAACTGGAGCAGCGTTGTGGACTTAGGTTATACAGAATTATGGGAAGCTTACCACTGATTCTTACAGACGAACTAAGAGTTCACCTGAAGGTAAGAGGCTATTGCAGCCAATTTCACATAAATATGCATTGTCACATCTGAAGACTAAGATGGAATGCTTCACAGCATTGTAATTATACTGACGCTCTATACCCTTCAGGTTGGGCTTATACACTCTTGCATTACAGACACACACGTTGCAACCAAAGAGAAAGACAGGCCTTTGTGTATGTGTACACATGTACACATACACAAAGAGTACACAGTTTAGGTGACTTTAGCGACTCGTAAAAGACCACAGAAGGAAACAAATCAGGCGATGGGCAGCAGCGTCTTACTAATAACGACTAAAAATATAAGACTGCGGTAGCCTACCCGCTTACCGGGCATGGCAACTATGGCAAATATCTCCCCTATGAGGAAGCCTATGTTCAGTAGTGAACTTTAATAGGCTGTAAAGGTAAAGGAGCGTCATTTACAAATTATATTTAAAAAAACCGTGACTAGAAGTAGTCTGACCAGTTTTTTTTTTAAATTAAAAAACGCTTGGCAACACTGCAATTATCAGGTACCATTAACTTACTTATCAGTCGTCATATGAGCAATTTCTTATTAAATAGGTGTGCGTAGTCAGCATCTCAGTGAAGCTAGACACACGACACTCGCAACTAGTGAGGCCACACAGGTTTTACTTATAGTTTGTGCTTTTCACATACCTTATTAGTCTTACAGCGCATTCATAATGCATTAGAGTGGAAGCCATACGCTTCAGGCCGGTTATTAACTGGCCCGCATTTCATAAACGAAAACACTCGCTACGCATATCGTTTATATTTTTCAAATAATTTAAGTATCATTAAATATAATATAATTAAACATTATGTACGAGATGAGATGAAATGCATTATCAATACTGCCGTCGTAAGAAAAAAGGGCACAACTAACATTTTTTTAAAAATTGAGTTATATACATATTTAGAATCAGAAAAAAAAGGCACATCTGCTCAATTTTTTGTAGAATTTTATCTTCAAGGAATTCGGAGATACAGTAGGCTCAAAAGGCACAAATGAGACTAATATTCATATTTTATAGAATGAAAAGGCACATTTATTTACCATTATATTGAAAAGGCACAAATACGTAGATGTGACTATTACTTCCTACAGATTTTTACTAAAAACTACTTTGAAAAGGCACACCTGCAACATAACATAAAGAAAAGGCTCAAATGCCAGATGTGCCTTGTCTACTTAATTAATGATCCATGTATGTCTCAATTAATTTACGTATAAAAGGCACAGATAACCAGTTGTGCCTTTTCTTTAAATTATTCACGATTAGGGGTGAGGAAAGG